CAACTTACTGGGGCTGAACCTACACCCTGAGCCATGGTGGATATCACTAGGTTTCTTTGACAAAAGACAAAAATGCAGAGGCAGTATTTCATTTTATTTCAAGGTAAAACTCAAGCACATCCACTGGTTACTCACAGGCGAAAACACAAATACAAACCCTGAACAATGTCACTTGGAGTGGTGCTTCTGCTTCCTTATGGTCCTTACGGTGGTGAATAGGACAGAGTGTGTTTCATTTTTCAGTGGTTGTTGAAGCCTTGCCTACTTTGGAAATAGCTGAAAGTTACTGTTGTCTCATGATTCTTTTATACCATATGGCAGAGGTTTCTCATGCATTCGTAGTTTCTTTCCATCCCATGCCTAATAAGCTCATCTATGCTGATTTAGTCTCTGCTTTCTGAGCTAGCTAGGTAAAAGATAACATCCAGCCTCTAAGCATGTTTTGTAAAACATATGCTTTAAAAAAATATATATCAAAAACCCCTCTCTTCTTTTCAAATAAAAGCTTGCTTGTAATCATGGCAAATGAAAGACTGGAAAGGACAAAAATGCCCTCACATACCAGGTAGTCAGCTTTGCAGTTACTAAGAAGTTGCTTTGCTCTGTTGAGTTTACTGTGTCACCAAAACCCCAACAGCCATAGCTATACAAAGCCTACATTGTCTCTGCAAGGCTATGAGAAGATGTTCCTGATCTTGGCAAGAGCTAGGTGTACCCAGAAGCATTTTATTGAAAAAAAAAATTACAACAACAGAAAGAGATATTATTTTAGGCCTCTCAGTGGAGAGATAAAGGTCAGAGTCCTTTCTTCTGCTAAAATGGCATGCAAAAATGTCTGGCTCACAGGATCCGTTTCAGAAGCTGGAAAACTGGACCTAAAAATCCCCATACAAAACAAGCTTCAAAGTGACTTGACAATATATTGTTTGTGGGTGTAGGTCATTGGTAATTTGGAGATCTAAACCTCTTGGCTAAGGAGACAGCTACACACACTGATACACAGGCATGGAGGTTGTCCCCTCATGGCCAAACGATCAGATTTACTTCCCTGCTATGAAGCAAACCAAATCTTTACTTCCATTAAAGTCATTGATTTCTGTAATTTTCAGTAGGAAGTGAATCTGGTAACTTAGAGACCTATCACCATTTCTTCACAGACAGCGCATATATTAAATTTCTCAGTAAATCAGAGCATTGGTGATTTGGGAAATCATGCACAGATAACCAAGGGCAGCGGTCTGAATGAAAAAGTTGAGCTATAATTATTGCTACTCTTGTAAGAGTAACGTAACATCTACTAGAGTTTGTCACTCAAACAGCGTTGTGAGCTCCTACAGGGAACCAACATGTTGGCCAACACAAGCCAAGCTGGGCCACCAGGACCCCAAAAACATGGAGAGCCCTGAAAGCAGAGCCTGGTGCAAACTCCAACTGAAGCACTACTCCCTGCAGGCTCTGCTGCTTGTATTAAATAATTTTATTCCAAGGTTTTTGATGTTTTTAAATCTAGTTTATTGGAGGCAGCACATTCCTTTACTTTCTAAAACTTCAAACAAAGATTTCTCATCCCAGACTGCCACAGGGACACAGCAGAAACGATTAGCGACTGTATTTACATGCCAGCCGACTCCAAACATTCCCTTAACAACACCTAGCGCACGGGGCGGGGTGTTTTGTCCACGTCTCAGGGCACGGCAGTGCCTGGCAGTGCAGGGACAGCCCAGTCCCACCTCACGGGGATGAGAGCCACGAGCACCTGCCCGCAGCTCTGCCAGGAAAAAAATCCCTGTCCCAGGAAGAGAGCAGGCAGGGGAGTGGGGGAGAGAGAACAAATGTGCAAGGAGAGTGTTTGTCTCGTCGTTTATCTCCCAGACAGCAGTTTGTTAGCCTTTTAGCAGCTCTGGCATGCGCCGGCTGGACACAGACGGCAGCGTATTCCCGGTGTTATCTCCGTTTCCCCCTGGGCTGCCGCTGCCTCACAGGCCTGCAGCTCCCCGCCAGGCCCGGCGAGCATGAAGGCTGACCTCTCACCCTGCACCACGACACCTGTGGCAGCCACGCTGCTGGTCTACCACTCATAAAAGACCTGGGTTCCCCTCTTCACATCATGCAAACCCAGCCGTGCCCAAATTGTCCCCTGCGAAGGCTCGAAGGCTCGCACAGGCACCGGCAGTCTGCTGGTGCTGGCCGCAAGCGGCTCTCTGCGGCCCCTTCTTATGCTCCTGCCCGCTGCGAGAGCACTCCCACTGTGCTGGGAACATTCAGGAGGGATTTTGCGGTCTGTTAGGTCCCGACCTGTCTTAGCACAAAGTTTGATTTTAAATTCCTACAGCGAAGTGAGCTGTGCAGCTTTCCCTCTGAAACAAAACCCGAAAAACCCCTCACCAGCTATTTCTTATAACACGGATAAGGAGCCCCCGGCATGCCTCATCTAATCACCTACTTTCAGAGCAAAGGAGAGGCTTGACCTCCGGATTGATACATGTATTTCAAACGGTCATCAGAAACTTCTCCAAGATAAGATCCCATTCTTATGCTAATGGTGTGTAACAGGCTCCCAGACAGCAGCCTATCTCTGAGCCCATTTGACGTCTCTCAGGGCTGTGTCACCACTGCCTGCTGCACAAACGGCAGCGTTTTGAGTGTTGAAAGTAAGAAACAGCCAAACAAACGAAATATTCCTTCTGAAATTTACTGCAGAGACATTAGGCACATCACGCTGTAATTTTGTGTTGATGCAGAGAAATGTACACCTTTCAATTAAAAGTTTCAAACCTGCAGATGACTTCTCACTTTCTTAGTTAATATTTGCTTCTGCCTCTCATCTGTCATCTGCTCGCAGAGCCGTGGATACAGCGCACAAAAAAGCTCTCACTCGGAAAGGACCACCAAAAACTTCACTCGCAATCCCTGCAGTCCTCTCGGTTTCATCCCCCACCCCCCAGAAAAAAAAAAAAAAAAAAAAAGGTTCAAAACGTGTTTTCTGAGCAAACTTCTGTCCCATTACGCTGCCAACCCAATTGCAGAAGAACAAACCCTGGCAGAAGGACAGAGGGACAGCAGAGCAAACCAGAAAGGGACGGCACCTACCTGGAGCCCCGGTGCGCCCGCAGCCGCTCTCAGCACCATGCACGGAAAGGCCAAGCTTCGGGGCAGCGACCTAACGCATTTTTCCTCCTGCCCCACCGCTACGCGAGGAGGGTTGAGCAACTCCCCACGACGCTGCCACTCGGAGCAACCGCTCTCCGAGCCTTAACCTCCTCTCTTGGCTCTATGCAACTTTTTTTTTTTTTTCTTTTAAGAGTTTTTGAGAAGTCCGATGTGGGGAGAAAGCCGTGCGATTAGCAGTGGCTCAGCCAAAGCCTCTGCCCTAAGCCGCACATTCCTGCGCTGCGCTGCGCTCGCACGCCCCGCTTCCAGCCTGCAGCCCTGATAGCGCTGCCGGAGCTCAGCAGCACGCCGAAACTCCGAGAGAGGAAAAATTGGTATCTCCCCCCCAGTATGGGTCGGGTTTTTTTTTTTTTTCTTTTTGTCCCCCCTACCTCCTCCTCCTCCTCCTCCCTTTCTCCCTGCGCTCACAGTAGCAAGGTTGTCTCTTGGCTACTCCCTTGCCTTAAACTCACCGAACCAGATTTTTACTCCCAACACCTTCCCGTAAATCTGAACTGAAATTTTACCCTGCTCGCTGAGCCTTTGCTGGCGGAGGGCCAGTGCAGCATTCCTGTTGTTTTAGGAGGGCAGATAAAAAAAAAAAAAAGGAAGAAGGAAAAAAAAAAAAAAGAAAAAAAAAAAGAGAGAGGGAAACCTGTAGAGATGCAAAGGCTGGAAGGAAGCAAACTTTCAGAGCAGCTTTACTAAAAATACTGTGGGAGGGAGCAATTCCCTTTTATCTTTAAAGGGCTAAGCCAGTGATTTTTTTTTTTATTTTATTTTTTCCACACTAGTGTTGGGCAAGAGAAAATACCCTCCTCGGTCATCTGTGTCCTTGGGGTGGATGAGATTTGAAGGGAAAGCAAACCGTCTGTACTCACCTGAAGGACAGCATCGCCGGAGTTAGCATAGCAAGGGGTGAAGCCTACAGGTTTCTCTGCTCCAGTCACCCCAAAGCAGCGGTCAAGCATGTGCCTCATTTTACCCTTTTCTGACCTAAAGTTACATCTGGTTTCTAGAAAAGGAACAAAAGGGAAACTAGTATATAAAAAAAGCAGCCAAGCCTTCTTTTAACCTCTGTCTGATCCCTCTGACCGTTGTCTTGAATACTTAGAGAAACAATGAAGCAAGGCTGTAAACTTTCTCACCCCCTTTTACATTACCTGTCTGCGCCTGGCTATGGGCTTTGATGTATTGAAACAAAGCACAAGACCTGTTTATAGTAAATGAAACCAACCAACAGAGATCTAATTCAGACGAGTGACTAAACAAACTGGAACAGGAAGCACACACCATCGGATTTTTTTAAAAGTAGTAATTCCTGCTTGCATTGTCATGCGAGGAAAAAAAAAAAAAAAAAAGGGTTTCAGCTTAGGTGACTTTTGTTCAAATAGAGTTCTTTTTGTTGTTGTTGGAAAGCCTAGCACAGACAATGTTTAATCGTATATATGCAAATACTTAACAGATCAACAGTTCCCATCAGCAGTGATCTTAAAATCTTCTTCATCTGCTTGTCTGCCTGTGGAGGACGTTTCTGCAGCTGTTTTGTTGTTGTTGTTCCCCCCCAAGTTAATTTCTGTAATTTCGGACTGGATGGAGGATCTTAATCTAGGACAGCAGGACAACGCAAGCCCCTAACAAACAGTAGACTGGCAGTCCTGAAAGTTAAATCTTTAAAGAATCAGTAAAAATGGGGATAAAAGCTAGTGAAATAAATTCATTCTTCATAATTCCGAATAATTTTTAAAATATTTCTTTTTATTCTTAATTAATTCTTATGAATTCTGAATTAAGAATTCTTCTTAATTCTTCTTAATTTTGAAAAGAAATATCCAGGGTTGAGTATACAATATCTTGCTTTATTACTGTTCTGTAACCTAAATGTTGTTTTGAAAGGAGTTTGTCCTTCCAAACAGATATTTATCTAATTGTGCTCTGTTTTTTTTTTTTTACAGTAGGGAAAATCCCATTGGTTTTACCTGAGCGAACCACACTTGACTACCTAAGAGAGTTTCGCTTTAAGCAGGAACTGAAGAACCAAACCACTGTTGGTGTAACGAAGCCAAAGAGCCAGATACTGCAAAGTTCAAGTTAGCAGCGTGTTCCCTCCAAACTATCATAAGTCAAAAGTTGCCAAAGGGATGCAATTCCAGATTTTGCAAATGTGGCAAGTATAAAAAAATCTATCAGAATTTACCAGTATTGGTGAGCAAATAATCAGGAGGGAAATCGCCATCAAGTACTTTAATTGAAATGAGAATTCAACATTAGCCTCAAATATTTCAGGCAGTTACATTCTTTAAGGGAAAATAATCCAGAAAAGCAAACGGAGGGGCTCAGTGGTAGAAAATTCTCTAAAGTATTCTAGCATCACCATCCTTAAAAACAGGGCCCATTTGTCCAGAAGCATGGCTTTTCTACAGTGTTTTCATTTGATAAATTTGCCCATAAATTCCCCTGGGAATCCACCTCGTGTACAGACAGCTTATGCTCCATTTGCTCTGTTCAGAGGAGCAAAATAGGCATTACTGGCAGAAGTTCTTCTTTGCCAACATCTGCAGATTATTTCTTCTAAATGAGAGACTTTGTTTTAAATTAATCAATATTACAGAAAATGCAGCAAACGCTTTCCATTGACATCTCCCTGCACACCTTGGCAGGTGCACAGGTGTCCACGACAGGTCTGCACACAGCTGTCTGAGGGGTTTCCAGGCCTTGCAATAACAACCATTTCTGAGCAGTAATGCCAAACCTCCACAAAGATCCAGTGCTGGTGGTGATAGGTAGAGCATTTCTTACTGTACTCAGATCCACAGAGCCCAGTTCAAAGAAGCAGCAAGTGTTGCCCAGTGTTTGAAGCTCACTTTTCTTTCTCAGTGTACATCATCCATCCAGATGACAGCAGCCATTCAGGAAAGCCTCTCCTTGACCACCAAGTGCTGGATCTATCGCAAGGTGGGATGGGATGAAAGAATCCTTGAGTTGAGTATCATCAGTTGTAGAGCTTGTTACCACTGGAGGTTTTAGGTCTAATCTAATTTCAGGTTTAATCTAAAATTAAACATCAGGTCTAATTGATCTAATTGATCTACCACCAGTCTGAGCCATTTTTACATCAGAGTAATTTTTCTCCCTCTCTGTTCAGCTGACAAAGTGTTTTAAATGCTTGTGAGCTCTTTACATAGGAAGGGAAGAGCGATCCAGCCACAATTTGCTGCAGCACCTTCCAGACTGTGGGTTAAAACGAAAGAGCAGTCACAGCCCTGGAGCACCCAGCAGAGATTTCCTGTTCCTCTGCCAAGCCATGGTGGGGTTTCTAACCGAAAGAAAAGAATTTAATGAGTCCATAGCAAAGCAAATTAAGCTAAGTGCAGTGTGATTAGGCCGCTAGCACTAATCTTTAAAGGCAACAGCATTTGATCAAGGAAGGTGTCCTCCAAAACTGATCTTAAAAAGGCAATCAAAAATTTCTGGCAATGAATAGCCAAAGTTGAGGGATAGTGGTTTTTGGGGGGAGGTTATCCCAGTTGGTAATGTTTCCTTCTGAACAGGGCTTATTGTGGTATCAGCTGTGCAATAAATATTTTACAGTTTATCACCACTGCCAAGAGCTGACCTTTGCTGCAGCAAGAAACCACTTGTTTAAAGTTTGGTGGCTGCAGTTCATTCAGGAGATTATGAACCCCCCTACAGGTTGTTTGTTTGTTTGTTTGTTTTACTAAGGGGGAAACCATGGAAAACACAAGTGCAAGGTGTGTTACCCAGAAATGAAATGGTTCTAAAGAAGAGAAAACTGATTGGCGAGGTAAGGAATATCTATTATTGTGTAATAATAATAATTATTATTATTATAAGGTTAAAAAGCCTCTATTTCAATTCTATATTTTTGTTTTGGTACACAAAGTGTTTCCTAGTGTATGATTACAGGTTAAATATTTGTACACAATTCAGTAAGCAGATGCAGTCTGCAATTAATTCTGTATTTAATCCTGGAGGGTTTTGCTTTTTTTCAGATTTAAAGCTGTGGGTTGGAGGACAAGCATGTTTGAAAATAGTCTGTGAAATATTGTGTTTCCTAAGCAAAAGATCTCAGTATGCTGGAGACACAGCAATATTTCTTCCAGAGAAGTCCAGCTTGGAAGCCCATAGACATTTTGTCTTCTGTCTAGGAGAAGCATTTATGTGGACAACACCAAATGTATATAGGCAAAGTAGATAGACAGGGGAGCAGACTACATTTTTTTTAGGTGAATGGGAGGTTCTTTACCTTGGTGATGCTGGAAGAAGAGAAGGAAGAGCTGTGGGAGCAAGGGAATACCCAATCCTACCTCTGGCCTCCAGAGCCTGGAGCCCTGAACAATTCCAGTGCTGCAGAGAGGTGCATCCTCCTGCACTTCCCTGGAACCCCATTTCTGGGGAAGAGGAGATGAGAATAGAGGGTTAGCTTGTGAGGAGGGCAGGTGAAATGAAAGACAGAGCCCAAGGAAACCCTCATGGATCTTTGGTCTCCTCCCGTGACCACCCTCTCTTCTGTCCCATCAGCTTGCTGAGCCCAGCATGGCCAGAAATCATCTACTTGCCAGCATGATTGAAAGACCTTGAGCTGGCTCTGCCTGCAGGTTTAGATGTGAAAGGTTTGTCTTTTTGACAAAGATCCCAACATCATCAGTGCTCAGCTCCTTCTCAAAACATATTTACAGTTTTTTTTTGTTTGTTTGTTGTTTTTTTTTTGCTACTGGTACCAGTCTAAAATTATTTAACTAACTCCTGTCACTTGGGATGTGCAGAGATGTCATGGCCTGGACACAATGCCCTTTGCTAACTAAACCAGCTGGCCTTCAAATCAGTTTCCAGTGTCCAAAAGAGTGTAATCTGAGAATGAATTTCCTTTCATAGGTCAAATCCAGACACATAATTTCATAAACAACATCACAGACTTGCATGGAAGAGTCTGCTCAGAAAGAGTTCATGGGTAGGATAAAAGTCTCATCTCTTTTCCTCACGTATGAGAGGAAAAGAGCTACAGCTAACCCCATGTTAACAAATACATTCTCCAAGCTAAAAGTAAGAAAAGCTACAGGTGTCTTCTTAAATTCTTCACTGAGCAAGCTGCAGTGCCTTTGATAGGAGCAGCTCTATTTTATCTCTGACACAAGCCCTTCACCCCAGGGGAGTGGGCATGGCAGGTATGTGCTCCTGCTGCATTCAGCCACCAAATGCTCCTTGGGGGGCCCCGGAGCTGGAGAGGCACATTAGGGCATTTTAGTTCCCTAAAAGGGCCCTGTGCATGGTACACCTCTGCTCCACATAAACATGCCCTTAGATAACCCTCGCTGCACCTCTAACCTCAGCCCTGGAGGGAGCTGCAGCACGCGGCTGCTCCTTGTCCCTCCTGCTTTTAGTGGAGCTCCGGAGGAAAGGCAGCTCTGCGCTTCCACAAACCTCTTCCAGCACAGAAATAAGAGTAATGCCCTTGCTGGTGTTTTTATGCTGAGCACTCTCACATATGTGGAACATTTTTTTCAGTCCTTACAATAAAATGAGAGCCTGAAAATACTCTGATAAAAGCCTCTGAAGGTAGCATTGCTCCTCTTTCAATTTCCCAGATGAAAAGAGCAGGTAGTTTGCACAAAGGATCTTGGAGATTTATTCTGCCTTGTGAAAAGCTGAACATACATAGCCTAAAACTTGGGCGCAGTCTTTAAAACTAATAAACCTTTCTCTAGCTCGAAGCTGGAAGCTGTAGCTGGTGAAATCAGGAGCTGGGTCAAATCACAAGGCGATGTGGTTAGATTTAACCCTGGTTAAGAGGCGTGCTGAGCACTGGTCTGGTGTTTACTCTGCAGTCACTTCTTTTTGAAGGGAAGTGAAACAGGCAAAGTGCAGCAGAAGCATTTCAGCAGGAAATTATCGTTATTTACTGAAGCAAGCTCTAAGAACAGAAAAAAAAATCAAGCCAAGAAGAATTCAGCCATTTATTAATCCCTGCAAAGGGGGAAAAGAAAACAAAAGAAGCTGCCTAATTTCACAATTTCTGTCTCCCAGAACAAGAGGCCCCGAGACAACTGCAGGTATTGCCACAGCACATGCACACACTTGTGTGCTCAGTGGGTGTGAGCTTGTGCAGAGGTCAGGGGAAGGAGGAGGAAGGTCTGCGCCTGTGGAGGCAGGGGGTGTTCACACACATCCCATAATAGTCACGGGTGGTTAGCAGAAAAAGTACAGGCAATTGACTCAGTGACTCAAAAATAATGAGAGCCGAACCCCTTCCACTCTCGGATGGAGAGAAGCGCTCTGGAACGGGGACACGTACTGCACACAGAGCCTGTGCACATGCAGGCAGCAGGGCTGTACAGCAGGAAAACGGGCCCATGAAACAGGAAGGTCATCCAGATACAGGGGATATATATCCCACACGAACCTTATGTTAATATTAAAAGGTTCTTTTTTTTTCTTCCTTTTTTTTTTTTTTTTTTTTAAATTAGCTTTTGCGATGAAGCCGGGAACATTTATTGCAATTCAGATTACTTGCAAGAATATAAAAATGCATGATTTCTGAAACCAAATGATCATAAAACTGTTTCTCCACTTGCAGCAAGAGATCATAGCACACCAGAAGGCCCCTCTGCAGGCTGTGGGTACAACTATCCACCTGCACTGCTGCACAGGGCAAAGTGTCTCCCTGTCTGTCCCGTGTATCAGCCCACATCTCCTGAGCTGGGTGGTCTCCAGTCCACCCAAGCACCCTAGAATGACATTCATATGAAGGATGTATGCCCAGAGATGAATTTCAGCAGGAAATTATCATTACCTTGGCTTTCAGCACAGTTCTGTGGTGATATTTAAATGTGGAACCTGCTCTTTTTTCTATTACCAGGCATCACGCGGGGATGAAAGCCTCTGATAACCACCTTCAAGAAAGAGTGGCAGGTGTGACACATCACCATGAGATCTAACTCCCTTTACAGTAATTCCTTCAAATATTCACTTGGGGCACACAAATCACACACTGGTCATGCAGGAGGGGAGGAGGGAGCAGGCTGCTGGGAGAGCCAAGCATCAGCAGTGGGTATGGATGGAGTGACTAGACATGACAAAATATCCACACACCTTGATGCTAAGCAGCGACAGAAGGCTGTATGACAGGGAAATTTTCAACCTCACTACAGTTTCTCTGTTCTCTTTCTCTCTTTTTTTTTTTTTCCTCCACAAAACAAACAAGAACTGCAAAAACAATATATATGACGTTGAAGAGCAAATTGTACCACAAGCCATTGTTAGAAATGGATTTGCACAGAACAAGCAAGCTGTCTCAAATCAGGTATAGCCCAGCTGAAAACACTCTGCTTGTCAAGCCAGCTTGAAGCCTGGGGAGAGTGACTAGCTCTGGCAGGGGTACTCTGAGGGGCACTGAAATCCTGTTTTGCTTTGTCTCCACCTGCCCATATAAAAATACAAAGAAACAGTTTGCATCTGATTTTGAAATGTTTTGTACCTCCAACTTCAGTCTCCAAACCATTTGATGGCAATTATTTTACAATTGAACATGTGAGAATACAATGGTCATGATTATATCACAACAGCACACTGTGTCTTGTCCCAGTACTGAAAGAAGACCCCTAGCTCACCACCCCTGTACACTGATGAAAAGATGAACAGTACTATACAGATGTATGACTTTATACAAAAAATGTTTTCCAGTTTATTTTTTTTTTTTTTGTAGCATCCTGCAGTTAGCTAATGATGAGCATCTGTACGTTTCTATTTTTTTCCTCTTTTTCAATATTTCCCAGCACCTTTTCAGCTTAATCTGAGGGTTCAGACAAGACTGCTGTAAAGTGGAATTAAATCCTCTGTGGCTGAAAATGTATTAAAAACGTGTAGCATAAAAGTGAAATACACTCAGCCAGTGTGAAAACTGCAAGCTGTATATACATAAACAAAAACCACAGCCCATGAATACTCACACATTATTTTAGACTTGGGTAATTGTTCAAAGCAATTCACTGTCCTTTAATAAACCTGGAAGCAATGATGAGGATTGTATATATCAAATCATACATAATAAGATCAAAGTAAAACTATTGATTACACATACACAGTAACTGGAAGAATTTGTGGCACAGTCAGAAGCAGTGTCATGGACATCATTGGTCTGACTTCTGTATAAATGTAAATATTAACAAAAAAGGTAATTCTCGTATAACATTTTGAGTCCAGTCAAGTACTCTGTCCTGAGGAAGACTGACGAAGGAAAAAGGCACTTTCTATTCAGAAGATAAAATCTATGGGGAAAAACACGGGATGTGATCCACATTTCGCAGCATGTTGCATAGCACCCGATCCATGACCTAATGCCTCCAGGTCTCCTGCAGGACAAGCTCTATTAGGGATAATGATAACCATGAGCTCTTCTCTAGGTTTTCCCATCAGAAACCCTGAAAAAATATTTGACAGCATGATTAACATGACTTTCTAGGAGAGAAAGCAGTCTTAGCAAGAGAACAAATAAATTTGTGTGCCCTAAAATTGCCTGTTACCAATGAATGTGGTGCTACTTTGGCAGAAGCATTGTTTCATACATTGTTCTTTTGGTCCTGGTGGTGAAGTGGTGCACCACAGGCAGATGTATAGTGGATACACAAAGATGATGAGGTCAAGGGGTTTACATTTAACCCAGCAGTTCAGAAAGAAGCCAGTACTAACTCATCTGTATTCATTCACCAGATTAGCATTTATATGTGTTCATTAAATCAACCAGAAAGAAACCTAGATCAGGAGGAATTGCTTCAGCTTAGTTATTGCAGTCCTAATACTAATCGAAGTGCTCAGTAGTTGAACATCTTCATCTAGGAAATCAAACACAAATTAAAAACTACCTCTTATTATCTTGCCACGACCAATCTCCCAGCTCCCCTCCCAGCACAGTCCTGATGACTTACACTGCTTGGAAGCGAGCCGGGAAGGTAATGGACTCCACCACCCCTGCCAAACTGCTCCTGCAAAAACAGAGAGTTTATATGAATTTTATAGGCCTTAATTGCTTTTTTAAATGGTATTAGCTTGGTAATTAGTGGTTTGTTAATAATAACTTTGACAAAGCCAAAACATCTACTGGCATTATAGACAGAATTTAAGCAAGAGAGACTGAGAGGAACGTGGGGCACCCTGAGTCAGAGGTGCCTCCGCTCACACCAGTGAGCATGGCAGTGTTGTTAGCAGCGCTTACTACTACAATGCCAATGGTATTTTTGTTTTGCTTTGTTTCATTTTGTTTTATTTTTCCTTCTGAGATGTACTGTGCTTTGCTTCCCTCTATTTTTTTCTTCTACTTCTGTAATTTGGACCATGTTTCACTTCCTTTTTTTTTTTCTTTTTTTTTTTTTTTCCCCAGACAGATCCATCTAGCCCCATTTTACCTCAAAATTCACTTGTTTAATTTGGAGGCAATGGAAATAATAGACCCTTTGCAGTGAAAACAGTAACAGATATTACGTGAGCAAGTGGAGACAACAAGAGCTGTGCTTTGAGCATCCATGAAAGGTTGCAAACAGACAACACAAAAACCCAGAGAACTCCAAGAAGTACCTGTTCCTTCACCTGCTACCATGCCTTTAGTACAACCTTTAGTACAAGTTGAACTTTAGGCAACAGAGAAAATCACATAAGCACTGCCAAATGCAGTTCAAGTAAAGTCTTTGAACTCAGCTTAAATAGTCCTTGATGCTGCCAGGAGCGGCAGGGGAGGTATTGCCCCGACATCAAGGCACAGCACCCACCTGGGCACACACCTGACCATGCTGCAGCAGCTCCAGCTTAGCACCATCACACTTCTGTTCATACCATCAGTAAGCAAAGTTTCATGGAGTGAAATATTTGTTTCTCCTTTAGAAATGAGGATCTTTATTCAAAAATGAAATTTTCATTAAAGTGTGTACTTGTTCTTAGTTTTCTTGTGGAAAATAGAAAGAAGAGTAATGCTGAAAATTGTTTTACCTAAATCTCTAGAATTTAATTCTTCTCTAATATGGATTTTCTTCCAATGAAGCACATAAGAAAATAATCATTTTACAGGGCATCATTGGGTTGAATTCTAACAAAACATTTTTTTTTCTCTAAACTAACAATGCAGAAGGACGGCTGCTGCCTTCCAGGCTCCAGTTCCAAGCTCATACATTACAGCTGTTACAAAAAAGCTTTATCTTGAACAAGGAACCTGTCATTAGAAAAAAGCCTCACAGTTAAAGTAAAATGTGGTAATCCTTTGGAAGAAAATTGTTAAATATTTCTGAAAATTTGACATAAAGTGACAGCTTTATTTGGGAGTACAGCAATGGGATTTTGCACACCTATCAATGAATTTTGCTTGCAGGCGAAAGGATGCTTTTTTCCTTAGCTGATATGTGGAGTCCTGCAAACAGCAGACTTAGAAAACCAAGCTGGGGTCCTCTTCTCCTCATGTTATCACATATTCAGAGTGCTGGAAGGGACTTTGGGAGATCATCCGGTGCATTCCCTGCCTAAAAAGAACACTGATTATTCACACAGTTTCTGACAGACACTTGCTCACTAGTCATTCCTGTTGATAATGATCCAGGGGACCGCCTTGTGCCCACAGTGCTCTCAGTGGGGCTGTGCAGATGAATGTGATTAGGATTTGTGAAACTCCTCCTGATGTGCAATATCATAAGGAACAGGATCCAACCTCCTTACCTGTGTTGGCTCAGAAGAAGAAAGATATACAAAGGAGAGGGGAAGGAAACAATTATTTACACTAGCAAAGAACCAGGATTCTGAACACAAAGGTACTTTTTGTCTTTTTTTTTTTTTTTTTTTTTTTTTGCTAGGATCACAGTTTGTTATAGTGATCATGGGAGCAATACATGACACTTCCTAGAAGAAATTACACGAATTCCTTCAGAATTTCTGTAGTATGCAGTTCTTTTGAGCATAATTGGCTTATACCCACAAAATTGCTCCTTGAAAGCTATCAGGACATATAGCAGAGAGATTGAGAGGCTCAGGAGGAAAAGTTGACTTGCTATGAGTTTGATTTCTGCTTCCAGAAAAACCCACCACCAAAAGCTCTGCCACAACCACGTGTGCGTGATGGGTCCAAGCAGGAGGTTTTGCCACACTCAGGTGGTGCTGCTGGGGACCTGTGTCCATCAGCATTGGTGGTGATGGTTCATGTACACGAGGTTCCTCGCTGGCAGCTGGGGGCAGCCAAACCAAGAGGTGTCTGCTGTTCTGAATAGTCCCAGGAGCTGACTATGCAGGAGAGTAAATGACAACATGAGTAGTGCTAGAAAGGTTGTCAGAGGTCTGAAGAAATGTCCTTTACACAAACAGAAAACCTAGTGAGGGAGAGGAGGAAAGGAAGGAAGGTGAAGTGGCTTATTCAGCTTCTTCGGTCATTTTGGATAAGAAATATATTTTTTGTGTCAAGTCAGCAAAAGCATTTCCTGACATCTTGCTCTCTTGCTCTGTTTGCTGTCTTTTTTTTTTTTTTTTTTTTTTTTTTTTTTTTTTTCCTACCCAGCTAAAGAAGCTTTCTAGAAGCATTATAAATGTGGGTTCTGGTCAGAGGAACATGTTCAACAAACTGCCTCCAGGCCTCATGGTGACTCCGTTACCAGAGTACCCCTGTGCTTCCCCCTGGCAATGGTGTCTCTGTGCAGAGGCTCAGATTTGCTTACGCCAAGCACCAGGGTAGGTGAGGGCACGGGGGGGAAGGAAATGCAGCCCCAGAGAACAGGAGCAGAGGGCCTGCTGTGGGTGCCTGATTTAAATCTAAGCCTCCTCTTCTCCAGGCTGAAGAGGCCCAGCTCTCTCAGCCATTCCTGACTGGAGAGATGCTCCAGTTCTTTGACCATCTTGGTGGCCCTTTGTTGGACTCTCTCCAGTATGTCCATGCTTCTCTTGTTCTGGGGAGCCCAGAACAGGGCCCTGCACTCAAGATGCAGCCACACCAGTGCTGAGCAGAGGGGAAGGACGGCCTCCCTCGACCTGCTGGACCTGCTACCACAGCCCATGATACCTTCTTTGCAGCAAGGGCACTTTGCAGGCTCACATTCAACTCGGTGCCCACCAGGACACCCAGGTCCTTCTCTGCTAGGCTTTCCATCAGGCATCCAAATCTGATTCACATTATGTGACTGGGTTGCAGAAGCATGAGACTATACCAGTGCAGCTTGAACACATCGTGGCTTTCTATCTCAATAGTTATCCCTTGAGTGCGTACAGATGTTCATGCTACAAAACCCCCAGCCAGCCACCAATAGCCAGCCCATAACAGAAAGGCACAGCCTGCACCGATGGCCTGGCTGTCCCTGCTCCCACATTGATTCCCTCCTCTCCTTCAGGCCATCATAGACACTGGGTACAGCCCAGGGTCTGCTCACCACCGTGTTTTAGATTCATTATCTCAGCATGAAGCTGAGAAAATATTTCTAGGACCGCACCAAGCAGCAAGAGTGAGATATGAGGCAGGATTTGCCTCTGCTGTTTCTGACATGGGAAAAGTAATTGGGGTTTCCCCAACACTGCACTGGGCATAGAAAACCTTAACCAGTTAGAGCTGATTTTACTTCAATAGAACAAATTGTAAATCATTTCAAACTTTCCTGGTTATGCCTTTTACTATGTTTTTAGTGAGAACAGGTGAACTTTTGCAGTGCTGTTGCCTAAACTAAAAAAATCTGTTTGCACAACTCCAAGAACTCTGGGAAAACAAGCTTAAGAAAAAACAGTAAATATTTTTAATTAATGTAAACTACTCCACTCACTGGTAAGGCTCAGGCCCATGGTTCATGCTTGCTCCATGGGCCACCCAAAGCTGAGGCCAGTGCTGGGGGGGAGGCTGGAGGGCAGGGGGTGCATGGGGTGGCTGCTGAGGGCACCAGGAACCAGGCACAACGCTTTTCAGTGCTGCATAGATATCAGCAGCATGTTGTTTGGACATGGCTAGCACTGACGCACCTTTACAACCCTGCGGTGAAACCGCTGTCCCTGCATGCCCTGAGCCAGAGCAGTATTTCTAGTCTGGATTGCTAAGCAGTGAACATCCTCTCTACCTCCCCCACATGACAATTTATGCAATTATGTCCTATTAGGACACTCCAAACAGACAAATTATTATGAGCACACGCAGTGCCCTGGATGACCCAAGTGAAATCATCACAGCAGGCTTTTATTTTGTTTCTCAGGGGCGTTTAATACTCCTTCTAACACTGGACAGCAAATGGCAGCTGCAGCAATTTTCACCCTGCTGCTGAAATACAGTATTGCTAATGCATGTTGTGCGACACACACCTTCCCAGGCTGATTCTGAACTTGGAGTGAACCTGGTTCAACCGCACCTTCATGCTTTGTGTTATAAAAAAAATGCTAGGCAGCAGTGCCACATGACCCGGTGTTTAAAGGAGATGGCCATCAATGAAAAAGTCTAATGAAGAAAACAGCTTCCTCCAAATCTCTCCATTATGCGCTGCTTTTTTATGTTCTCAAACTATGTTTTTTTTCCCTGTTGCTAATGAGCACTTGAGAATTTGATTTAGCTCCCTGGAATGACTGCCACTCACCGCTAGAATGTTAATCTGCCTAAACCCATTCAGCTCCACTTACTTGGAAGTCAATCACCTGGAGCCTGCACTTCAAAGAGGTGCTGGCTAACGCAGTCACCGCAGTGGAGATGTTTTGGGACAACTCCTACAGTTGGGAGTAATCTCGGAGAATTGAGGCTACTAGACAGCAAATAGATCTGTGTTGATTCCCCACAATAAACAGAACTGGAGTCATCACTGGTGGAGACTGGGAGCATGGGGAGACAAACACAGCTCTGCCAGTCACAGAAGGGATGCTGCACTTGCATGTTGCATCACCTCCCCTGTGGGACAATCTCTAGCTCATGGTGAAAATACACACAGGGAGGATGTAAGCAAACAAGCACAGTGGAGATATGCTAGGCCATGGCCAGAGATGAAGCTTTAAGGTGTCAGAGGAAGAATCTGGCTTTCCAGAGGTATTTAGAGATCTGATTTATTTTGTCTTGTACTGGCCATTTTTTTAACCCTTGTTTAGAGGGGAAGAAAATGCTATCTTGCATAAAACGTGTCATATAAACCAAGAGAAGAGATTTCCTGATGAAGAGACAAAAAGCAAATACAACAATTTAATAGGAATTGGTTGCTTTACTGTTGCTGTAGAGGAAACTGGGCAAGCGTGAAGAAGCACACTTGGGGAAAGAGGCAAATATTCAGAGTGGCTAGTTGCTCTTTGGACAAAACTTTTACCTCTTTCTAAATAAGGAATATATGTTTAGAATATATCTCTAGAAACTCTGTAAATGAAAATATGCCAGGAAGGTAACAGCCTGTGTTCTGTCAGCATATAAAACCTTTCACAAAGACAGGCAGAAAGAGAGCTGTGCTTTTTTCAGGTGCTCGGTTGGCCTGTTGTCATATTTCTAAAATGGGAGAATGCATACAATTAAAAGTTGAAAATATTATTACTGATTTAGAAAAAAAAAAAAGGAAGATTATGTACATAAAGCTTAGAAATCTCATCTATACTGTGACATAATGTTATAATTTCTTACAAAAGAACTTTGAAAACAAATATGATTGGCCTTATACACTTGTTACGGAGTGTGATCAGAAGCTGTAGCCTATAAGGCTGAAGTATGCAGGCACTGTAATTACCTGGTACCAATGTTTGGAAGTAAAC